GCTACAACACCTCTATAGTTGCAATAGATGTTCTAAGTGTATGATCCACAAAGGGAATGATTTTGACTTTCCACTTGCATATATAAGGAAGAAGGCTCAGCGCCTGTGCCACAAGTTCGACATCCGGTATCGCAGCAATGAGAAACCAGGCCTTCACCTTCCGTTCACCCACCCCTCCTTAGAGAGGGTGCGGACATATGTGAGCTTGGCTGTAAAGGAGAAAGTGATTCATCCTCGTCTGATAGCCAACTATGATCAAGTCTGGAGCACCAACTATAGACCAGCAAAGCGCGTGCTGCAGAAGCCTGGTGGTGCTAGAGGCCTTTTGCGAGATCCTTTGAGCAAATCCTTGGCAATGCGCCGCATCAGGCACAACATCGAAAGATGCCTGAACATGGACCTGACTGAAGAGGATCCTGCTTCTACTTCTGTGGAGGAACCTTCGAGCAATGGCTTGCACCAAATCACTGGTGGTAGCGCTGGTGTTGCTCCAGTGGATGAGTGGAGGCTTCCTCGCACGGTGACAACAATATCATTCGTGGACGGACATGTCTCTAGGGCGTATGTCACGCTGCGGTCTGGAACCATGCCAGAAAGCACTCGGAAGCGCATCAACCAGCAGTTGGACAAATATCTGTTCATCGAGCAGCAGCAGGTTACCAGTCATATTTGGAACGAGGCCACCCAAATCAAGTTCCTAGACTTCCTTGCCAAGGAGGTCAGAACACGGAGGAAGATGCTGGGATTGGATGCAACGGCAAGGGCCCTGGTACTTCTAGACCAGGCTGGCGCGCATATGTCCAGAAAGTATGAGCGCATCCAGGAACAGTGGAGCCGCCAACACAACATTGCAACTTGCATTATATCAGTTTATATATATATATACAGAAATGCTTTTCTTGCACTCTTCCACTTAGGCCCTGCATGGTTTCCTGGAGTTTTTAATGTTTAATGTTCCTTTACTATATATATATATATATATGGATATGTGTGTTTTTTTGGGGGGTGTTGTTTGGTGCACATGGTTTGCATTGAGGAACTGATGGGTGGCCGTAGCGCAGTGCCAGTGCCCGGTGGATTTGGGGCCAGTGGTGGCCCGAATGATGGGTGGCACCAGTGGCTACATGCTCTGACAAAGTCCTATTTGAGGCTGGCTGTTGGATGGAGCTCCTTTCCTCAGCTTCGAACAAGACTGGATGAGCTTCAGATGGGCCTTCAAAGTCAGCCAAGTACCAAGCAACTTGGCGGCGTAGGTTTAATCGCTGAGCTGTTGGCCTTGTCTTGGTTGGATTGTCTTTTGAAAAGCAGGCTCACCATTATGTTCTAAGTGTGAGAGACCCCAGAATGACCCCAAGAAATACATAGAGAGAGAGACACACGGCTGGTATCCAAGGTGCCCGTTGGAAACGTCATTGAATGCAGATGCCTGGGCCATATCCATGCTTCAGGAGAAGCGGCGCCTCTTCAGAAAGTATCCACAGCTTTTTATATGAATTTATACTATATATATATGTATATAAGACACTTAGCAGTACAGGATGTTCTAAGTGTATGTACTCCCAACAGATTATATGTTACTGCCTATAATTATATATATATTATTGCTACTAAAAGCACCAACTGGTGGATTCCAATCAGGAACTTGTTCTTGACATCCCCCCGCGGCTGTACAGTTGTGCAACAATAGCCATCATTGAGGAACCGGCGGCTGATTTGGACATCATGGCTCCAAAGAGGCTACTGTTCTGAAGATGACATTGCGAACTGGCATTTTGGCGGTTCCTCGTTCATTCCATTTTGAATGCCCTTCCTGATGTTGTTGATTTTGAAAGCTATGATGTTTTTGTTTTTTGGGGGTAACCTGAGCAAACAGGTGTATATATAATGTACAGTATGTGTATATATATATACAAATGCAACAAACAATATATATATATATACACATAAGGTTCAAATGCTTTTGATGGGGTTGAGACATTTGAAGAAATAAGGAGACCTCGAAGTGATGCGCAAGGAGATGAAAGAGCCCCGCGGGTCAATGGCTGATCTCTTGCACCTGACAGATCTGCCTGAGCTGGATGGGGCAGACACTGATGGAAGTTTGAAGCACATGAGGATGCAAGAACTGGTTTCTGATCATGATGCAGTCATTGTTTGAAAGCTGTCCAACAGTTTTTGGGGAACGGACTAAATTGTTCATGTTTACCTCATGTTCTAAGTGTGAGTTCACCGCATGGTGAGTCAATGAATATAAGTAAGTCATTTTGCTATATATATATACACACAGTATATGTCCCAACCGCTTGCACCAAGGCTGGTGAAACCAAGCTGCGCTGGGCCATGCAAAAGGATGGTGATGCTAGCACCCGTATGATACTGCCAGGCTACATCAGTGGAGTTTTGGAGCTGCGTGTGTGCGCCTTTGTGACGGAGCATGCTTCCTGGGAAACAAAGATACAGGAGCGTGATGCGGTTGGCAAGCAGTTGAGCACCCGCCAGAAGAAATCTTACGAACAGTGGCAGATGCGGTGTGAACAGCAGCTTGTTTTCTCCAAGGTCCATGAAGCCCTGGTATGCGACTCCAAGGAAGTGGACAAGAATTGCTTTGCATTTCATCTCCTGCTCAGTGAGGACCCTGAGAAGCTGAGGATTAGGGCCAGCGATGGATCTCACTTCAGGCTCATTCTCTTGAAGAGCACACCTTTCATCCAGGCAGTGGAAAACGTACCTGGTCCACTAGATTTGGAGTTGCCACATCGCTTGGAAGCATTGTCGGAACAGAACTCAGAGGAGTCTGCCGGGGAATCTGCAAACGAGGAGGTTGCTGCCATTCAGCACGCGGAGGATCAATATGCCCAGGAGAACCAGGGGGGCATGGGAGATGAATCAGACTCAGATCTTCTGGTCCTAGCAGATTCCGATGAGGAGTTGGATATGGACATGTTGGATGATTCCGTCAAAGCCAAAAAGGTGAAATCTTTCAATTTCAGAGCAGCATGGCAAAAACTGGAGGAGAAGGGCTTGACAATGCTCCCTCGCGGGGTACCAGGGTGCAGTATCAGCTACCACAGCACCTCACGGCAGTGGCAAGGTATGTACCCCGGCTTTGGTGACCATCCAATGTCTGCTGTGTGGGGTGGCGCTTCAAAGCGTACTGAAGAGGAAGCCATCTTGAGAACTATTAGGGGAATTTTGCATGCTCACCTCCAAGCGAATCCAAAGGACATGCTTTGGAAAGGGCAGCTGGCTCGTGTACAGCAAGCCGAGGCGACAGAATCCTTTTGATTTCATCTTATATACCTATATATATATACATGTTGTCTAGCATATTCAGATACATATATATATATATAGACAGTCGGAAATATATATCCAAAAGGCAAACGGTTTCAAGATGTTCTAAGTGTGCTGTCGCCACCTGCCCGTATGGGGACTGTAGTCCTTCATTTCTTTCTTTTTTGATATAATTCAATATATATATATATACATATACACATATACAATATACATAATTCACATTGGTGGATTTCCCCATGGGCAGACGGGCCACTGGCTGCCTTTCCAGCATCAAAAGCACTTGTTCCAAGCAAGGCTGTTTGGTCAAAGTTGTTCCATACTACTAGCTCAACATGTTTCTGCATTGCTTCATGTGTAAATCTTTGAGCACAGAAGATGGTTCAGATTGATTCCAGATTTGAATGGGATTTGAATGGCCTTGCATGACTCTGTGACCGTTTCCGGCCACCAATGTTGGGACAGCTGGCACAAGTACAGCAAGTGGAGGCAACACGATCCCTTTGATTTCATTTGTTGTCCTGAGTATATAATTAGTATGGTTGCAAGATGTTCTAAGTGTGCTGCCGCCACCTGCCCTACGGGGACTTTAGTCCTTCATTTCTTTCTATATATACATTGAATAAGAAAAACAATACAGGTTGGTATGATTAACCTTGGTGTGTTTCCCCATGGGCAAACAGGCCACCAGCTGCCTTCCCGGCATCAGAAACAGTATATAATTAGAATTTCCGAACCACGATGTTGGCCAAAAGTTCTGACACAGTTTGGCCCTGACCTGGTTTGGATCTAGCACAGGTGCACATGCGGTGCACCCGCGGGCTCAGTATATATACATTGAATTTATACCAACTCAAAGACCAAGTTTTTGTTGGTGTGGATGTTCTATGTGATGGAGCCCACTGGGGTCACACAGTGGTTGCATTCATGCAGAGGGCGCAGGAGTTGAAAGACAAACACTATGTACTCAACCTGGATGATGTCTATTGTATAAAGGCCTATTTCTGTGAACGTGCGCATCCAGTCCTGTGTATACCTGCAATCCTGCATGATTGTCGGGGTTTGCCGTTGCTGGCAAGATTTCATTACAATCAGCATTGAAGGAGAGGAAAAATCCAAGAGCTGTGAAAACGAGAGAGGAAACCGGGAAACCCACACACACATATATATATATAATAGCTATGTATAATATATATATATATATACATATGATGTTCTAAGTGTGTTGTTTTCTCTTGTTCTAAGAGTGCTTGCGGTCCATGTTCTAAGTGTGCTTGCGCTGGATGTTCTAAGCTCGATGTTCTAAGTAAAGGAATTTCCATTTTGGAAAAAAATTATGTTCTAAGTGTGTGTCTGCAAGTATACCCCCCCTAGAAACAAAATCTGCAGCCCCGTTGTTGTTTTTTGACCCCCGCCCCTCCAGAACAACATCCCAAAAAACATCAAAACACAAGAAACAGACCAACCAAGACTTGAGTACCACAACGACAAGAAGTCTAGCTACTAACATCTCTCCAAACCTTCGACCCTATCCCTAACAGTGCCCCTTTGAAATCCCTGACTTGCAACATGTGACAACTATGTTGGGCAGCTGTTTTTGTCTCTACCAACAACAACAACAACAACAACAAGAACCAACCCATGTCTTCCCGCCCCTGCCCGATGATAACGATGACAATGTTGTGATAATGATCAACCATGAACATCACATCATCATCCAGGCGTGGAAAATGAACAGCGCGAAACCACCAGGCGACTACAGGCACCGCTGGCCACTTTCTGAGGATCTGGTTGGAGCCCCTGGGGTGTCATTGAATGGTTTCATCAGTTGCTAGCACAAGCTCGGGAAGACCCACCTTGCAACAGCCGAACCCTCTGCTTGCACCTGGAACGGTATAGGGCTTCGGGACCCAACGCTTGGAGCTGCGACCGGTCCGCTGTCGGCCTCTGCAGATCGCACGCCCAAGCTGTCGCCCAGGTGAGGGAGCTCGGGGAAGCTTTCCCCCACATGCCTCTGCAGCGCGTGACACTTAACCGGTGGATCTGAGACTGCTTTCCCCTTTGGAGGTTGACAGGTGACAGAGGTGTTCAAAAGGGGTGGATGACTGGTCTCAGAATGGCAGCCATGTCCAAATGAACTGCTTGAGGTCTGTCAGCAAAGCTCAAGGTTCACCCACAATCTAGTGTTGAGGATCATTGATGATGCCACAGAATGTCAAAGCAGGCAATCCATACATTCAGCAACACTCAGCAACTGTTAAATCCAAATGTTCCAAGCTGAAACCGGACAAACTGCTGAGACTGGTGATGAGGAAAGACCTGGTAGTATATATCTGGTAGTAAATCATCCATCTGATCCTCTTGCCTAAGGCAACCAGGCAACTAAGGCCCACTTGTTGAGAATCCCCAGAGAGAAGTTGTGCTAGAAGTTGTGCTAAACCCAACTCTTCGTTTCCATGTTTGCGGCAACCGAGATCCAACCAATTGAGGGCACCAGGTGACGCAAAGGTGACCCTCCCACCACAGTCCAAGACCCTCGGAAGAATGAGGTTCTGATACAAACCAAATAAATAGTCCACGACCCAGGGCCACTGGCCTGTGTCCACATCCGTCCAGATTCCTAGACAATATCCGTCCACGTTTCCAGGTCTTCCAAGTCCCGATCAATGCAGAAACGATCAGTTTTGTGGCAAACGATTGGGAAGCGGAGGTATCATTTCAGACAGAACTTGGATTGTTGAGACCTGCAAATCGGCCCGCAAGTACGTCACCCCCGGTGAATGAGCAGATTTGCTATCCGCAAAAACAAAGCCCAACATTGAATTTTAGTTGATATGTGTTGTTTGTTCAACCCCTTTGACATATAATGTTCACCAACCCCCACCCTATAGATCAGCCAATTTATTAGCTCTACTTCCTACACCCCCGAAAAACCATGAAAGCCACTTAGACTTGTTCATGCTGGGTCTTTGTTGGGGGATGTCTCTGCCGTCCAAAGCCCTGTCATGGCCCTTGTCATGGCAAACCCAGAAA